TAACAACAAATCAATATAAATTGAATTTTCTTGATTTTCTAATAAATGGACTAAACCTTCTTAGCAACTCACATTAAAAACCTCAAATGCATGTGATCAATTCATGTTCTATAGGTTTAAACCATCTCAATTGCAATACCAAAGGTTACAATAAAACTTATTATTATATTGCAAATTATGCTACATGTGGTGAATTGATTTATAACTAAGCTTTGAAATTTGGTTCAAAGTTATGATTGTGATAAAAATGAGTGGAGTAGAATTTTTGAAGATTCAGATTTGAGATTGAATGAAACAATAATAATAATGATTACTTGAGATAAAGAGCGAGGATTGGAAATCAAGAGGGACACTGAGAATAGAGATTGAGAGAAGAAAGAGAGAGAGACTATTAACATAGAAGAGGAGGTTGAGACATTAGGTGGGAATAGAAGGAATGGAGATAGTAGACGATTGCTAGGAATATAGAGGAGAAGATTGACATAGGGGACGAGTGTTAGAAACAAAGAGAACAAAAGTATGGGAATAGAAGATGAAAGAGGTGTGATGATGGTATTGATAGGTAATTTGATTTAATAAAAGTTGGGGTTGATTTAACATTCCCCTATATATATATATATATATATATATCAATGTTTTTGGCTTGCTTATATCTTGTGGTAATCTTGTAGATTCAAACAATATTCTAATTCAAAAATCTTTGGAATTTTGATGATGATGCATTAGGATCTTATATATTTTGTGGCATTCAACTATTTAGAAATAATAGAAATTTATTTGTATCTAATCAACCATATTATTTTTTGAAATTTATCTATGTAAAAAATATTTTTATTACAATAAAATTGACCTCAACTTTATGAGACTTAAATCATAATTTTCTTTAAAAAATAGTTTAAGGTTATACTATTAAATTAAATAAATTTTATATGAAAATTTATTCTTCTTTTATGTTTGAAACTTTTTTTCAATTAGAAAGATTTTGTATTTAAGTTGTGGGCTTCAAAAAGAGAACATGTTTATATGATTAATTTAGTATAGATGGGTGGTTGTTATTAGATTGAAAATACAAGCTAATTCTAACATTTTAGATTAATGTTTTCTGTACATAGCCCACACATTTAATACAATTATACACAAATTTTGAGTATGTATTCAAACACATTGCATTTAACAATAAGTAATATTTCTATTCTACAAACTTAATTCTGATCTAATAAATTGAAGAATTATAAAAGATGTTCTTATATAAACAATATTTCTTTGTATGTAAAACTTTTCTTATTTTAATTAATATTACTCAATTTGATTTTACTTTCAGAGGCATTGATTATAGACTATTAAATTGAATAAAACAACTACATATTTGAAAGAGAAGATTAGAATAATATTTACATGAGAGAATTGGTTTGGAAAAATCTAATTAGATAGGACAATATTCTTTTAGAGAGTCACTTATAATAATATTAAAAAACAAAAAAACAAAAAACAAAAAACAACCAATTAGTTACACAATTTTTCAACAAAGATACAACAAATCTTAAATAGCCAAGTGCATAGTAGGCTTAAGCACAAATATCAAAATTACATAACTTTGAAATACCACAAAGTTGATTCATAGAACATGCAACTTCAAACCAACAACAAATAGAACAATTATTATACGAACCCATTGTAAAGATAGATTGTGTGTGCATAGTTCCACCCTTGTTATTATTCATTCATGCAAACATGAATAAAAAGCATGGTTCTTGTTTTCTTAGTAAACCCAAAGCATAGAATAAACCTCATTTTGTGTCAAACAAGTAAATGAATGCTCATAGGTGGTGGGTCTAATAGAACCCTAATGCAGTGCGGCGCCGAAATTGGTAACTTCTCGGCGAGAGAGAGAAGGGCCACATCGATGACTGTGTGTGTGTGTACTGCAGCTCCGGCACGATCGGGTCCCCGTAGGCGGGTGCCGACTTTCTTACTGACTGGATCCGGTCTGTCACGCGCCACAATGATGAGCTCTCCCCTCCGTCAATTTTGCGCTCTTGGAGCGTCAGCGTCGGCTAACCGAAAGAGGGATGCTCAGTTAAGAGGCAGGCAGCCATGGCACATGCTGCTATCCAGTTCCCTCACATTCAGTCAACACACCGCCTCGATCTGTTGGGTCCTCCCTATTCGGGATTTGCTCTTTTATCGGTAGTCGAGAGCGCGGTTTCATTTGTCGTATACGTTGGCAACAAATAGAAATTCTACGTCTCGTCGAGAGTTGTCAATCCTTCAGTTGTTGCGTGTTTGATCTCTGTGCAGAGAGCAGTTGCGTCGAATTGCAGCGATTGCATTGCACCACTACTACCTGGGTAGCAGGAGCTGTGGGGTTCCGGGTGGTCTTGGTTCGCGGAGAGGTTGGCGATAGATTCCTGTGCGGACCAGGGCGGAATCCCGATGGCGAGGCAAGGCATGACCGTGATCACGAACAACACGAACAAGACGCTGAACATGAGAGTGGGCAATCAAAGCCACTTCCTTGATTTCACCAGCTTGCCCAGCGGCAAAGAGCACATCATGCGTATCGATTACAGTGACACTTACCACGAGTATTTGATCAAGGCGGACAATCAGGGGCAGCCGCTCATCGTCACCTCCGACGACTGCTGCGATAACAAGCGCATCACCATCACGGAAGTGGACGGCTGCATTCGCGCGCAGCACACCCCCCGCCGGCAATTGAAACCCGCCCCAGCGCAACAAATTGTCGTCAGACCGGCGAAGAAATTGAAGCTGAGCAGACTCCCTAGCGGCCGAATGGCACCCAGTCGACTCCCCAGCAGAGTACCTTCCGGGAGAGCACAGCCGCCGAAGAAACTGGGGCTCTTTCGTTGGGGTTTGATGTGCCAGTAGGGTCTGATCTGTCGGGAAGGATTTTGTCCATTCTGTGCCGCACCTGGAAGCGTCGGGCTCTTGGCTTGTGTTAAACCTTCGATTTACAATACGGAAATGGAAACTGGTTTGGCTACTGCGCATTCCTTCAGCTCTTGGTTGAATTACCTTGTAAGTAAGATTTCTAGCCGAAGCGATGCAGCTACAGTACTTTTCACAAAAAAAAATCTCTCTTTTCTTTCTTTTTTTTGTTTGATCCTAAGTCGAGTTCAGGAGGTTCCTGGAGCTTTGTCTGTGGAATTCCAACGAGTTTTAGTGTCTCCATTCATTGTTAACGATTTGTGCATATTGACTCGAGCGATCAGAATTCAGATGCTACTACTGTGCAAACTGATATACAATTTGTTTGTATTCCATTCAACCTTTGTTATAAAACCGTCCCAGCATTTGTCGGTATTGTGAGCCTTCGGCAGTGCGAGATTCATGACGTTGAGCAGCTCTGAATCATCGAGCTGCCATGGCAGACACCCATTTTGCTTTGTCTATCTACCTGACTACGATGCAATTGAATCATGGATTTGCTAACTCCACACCTCCAATGGTTTTCTTTTGCTATTGGTATGTTTATTTCTGTTTACAATTGCTATTGTTTGTTGAGTCATTTTAATGAAGAAGGATTTGCTCCATGAAATGTTGGACAATCTACAACACGATGATTGTTCAAGCCTGTCATCTGACTCTGGAAAGTATCTCTAATTAGCTGCAAGGCTCAATTATCAGTATAAGCATGAGCTGTTTACAACATCATGCTCATACTGAATACATACTTGCTTGAAACAACTCTGCCTGAGAATTCGGACATGTGGTGCCTTCATATCAAAATGACATTAAAATTATATCATATTCAGGATCTTCTTTTTTAGGAAAATAAGAACCGATAAACAACTTTATCTCAGATGATTGTAGAATGAGTATCCAAAAAGAGTGGCATTGCATTATTACAGTGGCTGACTTTTTTTCAAGCAGCCTTTTTGAGTTTGTCGAAGCCACTTTGTATTGCAAGGAGGTCTCAGGTATCGGTATCGAAGGCACTTTGACGAAGGCGCTGTGTCGGTATCGGCTGCTTTGTCGGGGTCTACACAACCTCCCAAAATGGTTGGAAATCTGAAAGCCTGACAATCTTGAAGACGAGTCGGTCGAAACCTCGGAGGCCCGCGCTTAAACCCCTTTGGGAAATGACGACTACCTCTCATGACCTGGCCATTCTGGACATCAGAGTTAAAATTTTGTAACAAAACATTCCCTTGTTATCATGCACAATGTAGACAGTAAACCTAGTCATAGTTAGTTTACTCTAATACCTCTGCAAACTTCTGATAGCATTTGTACACATAAAATCATCATTTTTTTACTTTTGATGAATAAAGACACACATAAACGGTCGCAAATTTTGTACATGTGTGAGTACTTTCAAATTGTGTATTAGCTGCCTAAACCATTGTCACAATTATCCATTTGTAATCATGTGTATGCTACTTCAGTAGTTGTGAAACAATTGGGTGGTTGTGACCATATACATATATACATACATATATACTCAAATAGCTTTTGTTTGGGCAATAGATTATTTACAGTTAAAGATATTTTTTACATAAAGATTTCTATGATTTTGACGATTTAGATTTTATTTTTAAAATTATGGAATGGTGATACTATCAGAGGTAGTCAATCAACTAAAATATTAAAATTGATTGAATTTCCATCATGAATAAAATACAAATTTGAACAAAAATATGTTTTTATATTTCTAAGTGCTGTTTTGTTTGCTCCAAAATACCAAATACATACGGTACACTAAATACATACGCACTCACACACACATACAGTATAGTCTGTCTAAAGGTGTACCACATATAACGTAGTTGAACCGTATATACGACTGCAGTGTTGAATACGATATTGAAAACGAGGGAGGAGGACAGGGCTGGCTATGTATATAAGCAACGAACAGCGTCGTTCCCGACGGGGAAGATGCTCTGGAACCGTAAAAGGCGAAGGAATTTCTCAAGGCCACGGGCTCGCTCGCTCGCTCGCTCTCATCAGGTTCGCCAATGGTATTAATAGCATGGAGAGCGTTCCCATGAAATTTGAAATTTCCCTCTATTTCGTACGACTGTTGTGTTTTCAACTGTTTGGTTCGTTGCAGAGAGAGCGAGAGAGAGTGAGGCGCGTAGGAGCTTCAGTGCCCTCGACCCAGACAATCACTCGCGCTGCGTTTGGTTACGCTCGTATTTGTTGAGTACTGCTTCCCGTCCTGCAGGCGTGTCTGTCAGTCCGTTTTGCTGTGTTTGGTGGTGGATTGCCGGCGCTTTCACTGGGAGAAATACGGAGAGCGTGTCTAAGTTATTTGTCTTGTTCTGTTTGCTTTGCTGAATCGAGTGTGTCTCTTGCAGTATGGATGTTTGTGAGTCAGTTGAGAAAGTGTTTTTGGGGTTTGGTAGAGGCGTCTTGTGAGATTGAGTATTAAGAAGAGTCGTGGAGACATACGTTGGTATCGGTGTGAGGGTTTCTTTATTTCTCGGAAAATGGCGTAGAGAAGAGGTAGTCAATTTCGTGCACTTCGGGCAGAGTGGCGTGATGGACGTTCGGGAAGCTCCCCCTACCCCGACATTGGATTTTAGAGAATTGGACGAGACGACAACATTTGAGCTGTACGATGGGAGCAGCGCGGTTCAGAACAGGAAGAGGCGAAGATCGTCCCTGCGTCGTGTGAGCTTTGCAGAACAGCCTTCTATTCATGTCTTTGCACGTGATGACGATTATGAGACTCCTCCTGAAGGCACTACCTCCCACCTGTCAGCGCAGTCCACACCCACGAGCGTTTCGCGTAGTCCTCAGCGACGCTCCAGAAGACTTGCTGCAAGGGGAGGTGAACAGAACGAGAACGAGATTGACAAAGAGAATGTGCCAATCAGTGTGGGAAGCAACGCCCGGCAGGGCAGGCGAGGTAGACGTCCTCTTGCTCTACGGGATACGCAGAAGGAGAAGGAGGAGGATTTTCTGAAGCCCAGTAATTGGCTAGATGATCACGAAAATTCGGCATTCGGAAGGTACTTGTGATATTCATTTAAGTCTTGTGCTCAGTCTTCCCTACTTTAAGCCTTACGTCACGTGTGACTGACGCTGCTTTCCAGTTTTGGTTCTCGTTTTGGAAACTTTGCACATGCTTTCGTTTCTTCACATCCAGAACCCCACTTTGTGCATACCTGGGACAGCTGAAGGCTTGCTGCCCGTGCTGGCATTCCGAGGTATCCAGCGTCGCATATTGGATGGTGCATGAGAGTTAATTAAGTGGCTCAGAGACGTATCTTCTGACTTGAGCTCTGCCGTGATAGGCTCAAAGTTTGATTAGTCTAGGGTTTCTATCCACTCTGAACATGTCTTCTCTCCTTGACATACTTCTATTTTCACGGAAATGCTACGGCCACAGTAGGTCTCTTGCTCCACATATCATGCTGTTCATCGTTTGTTGCTGACCACACACCAGATTACAAATGTTTTTCTGACTTCGAGTCCCCTACCCAATCGTTTTCGTCGATATCATGGCAAGCACTTTATTTTTATGAGTTCATAATTGAGCTCCTTGGATTTTGAAATTCTGAACTCATTCCAGCTTATTGAACGATTTGCAGCTGTGATGATAACACGGGACCCGTCGACCTTCGTCACATTTCATTCGAAAATAGCACAGTGGCATTGGAGGAGGATGACAATATGACCATGGATAGCCAAACCTTCCACACTAGAATGTCACAAGTATTTGCTAAACAACCATTGAACCGGCTTTCTGAGGAGAAGCTGGTGGAGGTGACCACTCCTGGTCAGTTGACAGACATGGAGTTGACTACGGCGTTGACTCAAAGGCAAGCTCTGGATAGAGAAAGACGAGTCTTGGAGCCACCCACATGGCATAGAGGTAGCGGTGACAGTGACATGAGTCAAGGATCTTTAAACGAAATCTCTATCTTTAGAGTTTTGTCCAAAAAGAGATCCACTGCAAAGGAGTCGGACAGCCACGATTACGAGGAAAATACAACGGATGTCGCAAACAATTGGATTGAGGATGACGCCCAGTCAAGAGGGAGCATGTCAAGCATGCAAATGAAAAAGATAGGTTTAATGCGTGATATGGACGATGTGGTCTCAATGGAAACCAGTTCGCCGCAGTCAAATCGTGAGAGAAGTGAGAATCTCAGAGACGAGCACGTAATGGCTTACGAAGGAGAACATGCTCCAGATACAAGGAGTTCGCGGGATTCGGACGGGTCGGAGGGATCACACCTGCAGGGAAGCAGGACGAGGGAGCGAGTAGATTTGAATGGGAGAAGGCCAAGTACGCTTTTGCAGAACAGGTCTTCAAGGTTCGACAATGATGATACCGTTTCAATGGAGACTACTTCTCAGTCTCATGCAGATCAAAATGATGTAACTATGGAGATTGATTCAGGGACTGATGAGAGGTTCTCAATTCCAAGTAAGCACTCATCTGATACTTTGGAAGGATCTGTGAAGACGGCATCAGAGCACACAGCGCTGGATCCATCAGCTCATCAATCTTCAGAACACAATATCACCCTTGAATCCGATCGCATAGCTTTGAAACCCCCTGTACATTCTGGTGCTAGTGATGACTCCTCTGTGCTTTTGAAGCACTATGAGCAACGGCTCAAAGGATTGAGCGCATCCACTTCTGAAAAGGAAATTTCAGTTCATGTCGACTCTAAAATGGACTCTCAGAGTCAATCGCTGAAATCGCAAGGGTATGCTCCATCAATGCCCGAGGAACGTCTGGCAAGACTGCAAGTCGACCGTCACGCTCAGGCACTTGAGCGGCAGGAGTTATTCTCGTCGCATAGAGCAGCGAACAAGGAATCAGGGAAGTCAGTGAACTTACAAGCTCGTGATGGTTTTGTCAACCATGGCATCGAACAAGGACCCTTGCTATCCCTACCTGATGAGAATACAGAGTCTATGGACATCACTAAAACTTGGAATGGACGTGTGCCTCAGCACAATTCTGTTCCAACAAGGTCGTCTGATTCTGCAAAATCTTATTTCTCATTGGATAAAGACCAACGCATGGACATGTCTGACGTAGATATTACGGATAAATATGCCGAGGGTATTACTGAGGCGATACCCAAGTGGAAGGATGTTTTGGGTGCCTACAACTGTGACTGGCCTAGCGTCGAGCCCCTGAATCGCATTTTACAGAAAAAACATGACGTTAATGCCGAGGATTCTCCTGTATGTGTTCGTAAGGCGGGAGTGGATTTTGATAAGGCACTACCAGCCAAGAGAGACGCTGGTCTAAGTAAAGCAACGGAAGACAGGGAAACAGTCCTCAGCCGAGATCTGGATGAAAGCACTGTTGAATTCCACTTGAACATGGGGAAGAAAAGGAACATCTTTCAGAACCCTGAAGACACGTTCAGCTTCAAGGGGCATCAAAAAAGTATAAAAGAAACTTCAGTGTCACCTCCATTGATGCTGGTAAGTCACTGACTTCGATCTTATTCTTCCTTATTCATAACAAGCAGCGGATGTTTGGCAGCTCAGGAGTCCGCTTATGATGTATAAATTGGATTGATGCGAGCTTCTCTTTGAGATTGCGATTGTTGTTATAATTTCTCTTGCGTTTGAACTCATAATGACTTCAAAATGCAGAATGAAATACCCAAACCAATGTTTTCCAATGTCCGAGAAAAAGTGGCTCTTATAGAGGCCAATCAGAGGAGCCAAATTGCACCTAATGGTTCGGAACGAGACTTTCAAGACGAAGACACAACTGGGGATTTTACGGGCCAACACAACTGGAGAGCTGAAGTATCAAGTGACATGAGTACCACTCCTCTGTCACCCAGGAGACCGGATTATTTTCAACGTCTGATTACTAAGCCGCAGGTAGCACCAATTGCTTCGGAAACGGGTCTTGCTGATTCTCCCTCATTCGTAGACGGCATTACAGCTGCCATTCCAAATGTCCAGGATCTTCTAGCTGCTGATGCTGGAACGCCCGAATCAGAGTTGGGTTGGAATCCCAGAAAAATTGTTTGGAGTGCCCAGCAATCCAATCGTCAAACTATGGCAAGTCTTGCGCTACCATATTTTACTTATCTAATGTTAATTGTGAATGAGTCGGAATTTGTGATTTTTAAAATTTATTTATTTTCTTCGTTTTATTGGGATGTGGTCTGTAATTCCAAACGGAGGAAAATTGTGTGCAAGTATGCTTGTTCTGTTCTTATCTAACTGCCAATCTAGTTTCTACGCTATTACATCATATATTTTCTTTCACTGGTACTGCATTCTCTGACCTGAAATTGACACGATGGTTCAGGAAGACCGAGACGATTTGCGGCAGCCAAGAACAGTTCAGATGGAAGATGACACCATGGACTCCTTGCCTGACCAACTTCGTACACCAAAAGGTCTACAAGAGAGGGACCACAAATTTGAATGCATGACAGAAGAGGCAGTGAAGACTTTAAATCAAGTGTCTCATTCCAAGGAGGTGAGAAACAGTGTAGCAAGCAAAATGTTAATGAGGCTGATGTCCATACAGGACAAGGGCCGCGCAGAAGCAGAATCTTCTTCTGATGGGGAGTCCCAACAGATACTTCGAAGAACTTTGCAGTTTCATCCTGAAAGTGACAGTCAATTGCCATCGCAGTCCCTGAGAGAGGAGGATACAGGACATCAGATGAGTGCTGGTGATCCTGACGATCTAATGAAAGTGGAGAGCATCAAGGACATGGATGAGGTTCGTCATATGATTCACTGCTTTTTTAGTTCAACTGTATACACTCGTTATATATATACATTTGCCATTACACATTCGCCAGGAGAGAGTATATTTCACTACTCAACAGTTCTGTTAACTTTCGCAAGCGCAATTTTTCCAATTACGCTTAAAGTTGCTTGGGGCTTTCAACCATTATTATCTTTTTAAGGTTTCAGGCCTCACGCACTTCACGAGTGGTTTACGTGTGTAATAAGGAAGTTTGAAATTTAGCACAGTTGTTTCTTACGCTATCGTTGCATGGAGAATTCCAGGAAACAGATTCAATTGAAACAAAAACTCATTCCAGTCGACAAGAATCCAGAACGAAAAGTTTGCTTCAGGAGTTGCAGGTGCTATTCCTTTCTTTCATATAAAATCTGCTGCTTAAGCTTTTAGAATGTTTGAAGTTGTCTCTGTCATTCTCGATCATGTCAGGTACTTATTGTTGGAAACATACATCTGATTGGTGTGTTCCAGTTATCTGAAGAGAAGCTTGGTGCCTTGAAGAGACGGTCCGAGGAACTACGAATGAGGGCTCAGGATTGTCACCAAGCTATAGCGAAGAAATGTAGGGATGATTCTTGTTTCGAGATGAAGGAACTGGCAGCCTTCTGTTCCCAGGCACATGTTAGCAAGCTAAAAAAGCGATGCCAACTTCTAAATTGTGTTCAGGTACCACCACGAGTTTTTCACTTCTTAATCAAATTCTCTGGCCAGATTGGTGCAGATCTTGTAAGATCAAGCAACCCAGTCAGAGACACACTATTGTGCATAAGAAACTCTGAAGCAGGATTTTGAGTCATAATCTTTATGATGATGGAGGTCTTGACGTAATCTTAGACTGACTTGTTAGTGAGCAATAACCCTCTTGTGGACGACCTTGTGGCAGTGGTGGAACGTCAAGTCCGCGAAAACTGGGGATGGCCAAGTTCTTCATGAATTCAAATACTGGTCGTTGCTCACTCATAGGTTTCATATCTTCCCTAATTCTTCTTGATTTGCGCTCAACGTATGCTAAGCGAAGGGATTTAGGCGTTGGCATGATCCTGTAACATAATCTTGTGATGATCATTGCCCTTAAAGCCAGTGCGTTGGTCTATTGATTCTTTCTCCACTTTGGCGAACTTTTTTCTCCTGAGTCATTGATATACTTTAGCTCGAATATTTGTGATCTGAACTGTTTATGTATCTCTCTTCATGTCCAGCATCTTCGAGCGGAGTGCGATAAATCTCGAGTCTTTTGTGTCTAGGAGCTTGATTGATCTCAACGACGAGAAAATTGATCAGGTATGGTTTGTCTTCATCGCCTAATTTGGCAGTTTTAGTATTCATGTTCGTCGGAAAGCGCTCTTTCTTCATAGATTAATCGAAATGCTCATACGTTTCGCTATAGGATTTTCCCCAGTAAGTATATGGTTTGATTTTATGTGAGTAAGGAGCATTACTAGTGTTCAGGTCTAAGACCCCAAACAAAACCGTTGCTCTCGTGGTTGACGACTTCACTTCTGTAATGAGTACTGCAGTCCTGACCCGCAGTGCTTTGCGATGATTACAACTGGCATTGCTACAGTGCATTTTAGTGACTTCACCTTTGTTCAAACTGTCTCCCTTTGCTATTTCAGGTATGCTAAGTGGGTGATGACCAACTCTATGTTTGGTGTGACTGCAGGTATATAGTCACATGAATGCCTCGCTTGCTTGGAGATGGTTTCTGTCAGGACTTGACGAAATAATTCAATCACAAAGCTTATTTTATCATGTTCAGGTACGTGAGTTTTTGTTGAACATGGAACAGAATCTGGAGTCCTAACATTTCAATTCTGTAAAGCACCTTCTGAACTAGAGACGGTAGCATATGGAATTAAATTTTTTATATACTCACTGAGATGCTGTTTTGTAGTGTATAAACTCTAAGGTGATGATTCTGCTGGATCTTATGGAGGAAGTCAAGAGCTGTCGAAAATATCTAGTGATACCTTATTTCCGACTTCAGACTGGTAAAGCTACCACCAATAATTCTCCTAATGTATGCCATCCCTTTTTGCGATTTGTTCCGACACAAACTTTCTTAGCATATAAAAAGCTATGCATTTATACTCGTCTTTCACGGAACCATTTCGTGTCCTGAAATTCAACTGCATTTCCCTTCAGTTCTGAAATTTAAACTGTTGGATGAGATTGCACTAACACCCATCATCATGGCTCAAGTTATTGAGTTTGTTGTTCGTGGTACTTTTCTGAACATCATGACTTTTACTTCACTTACATCCCTGCATCTTGAGAGTGTCTTTGAACCCTAGCCATTCAATTAGAATATAACAAAATGGCTACTAAAGTCAATGTTTCTGTTGTGATTTTCAGATACGAACCTTCAGCTCGGTCTAAAATTCTCCAACAGCGAACTCTTGTTCGATTTTGTTGTGTTGCTTAATATCAGGCAAGTCGTCCAGATGAGGTACAGCAGGAGATATGAACTGGATCGCGCGGTGGAGATGAGTCAGAAGCTGGACTGTGATGTAGAAATGGAATCTGAAGGTCGATTCTTTGGGAAGAAAGTATCCGCAGTAGAAATCAAGAGCTGTGTGTCTTCTGTGGTCTCCGGACACCAGCTTTTGTCACGCGTTTGTGCCTGTGTAAATACACTCATCGAGAAGATCAAGGGTGAATCTAACTATCGTTGATGACCCTCCAGGGAGAAATAGGTATGTTTTTAATTGAAATCTCGACATCACATGTAGTGCAATCACGCATCAGAGAGATTCCGGGAAGTGTAGAATTAGCTCATTACTTAGTCTTATGAGGTGCTATTCATTTATGATCTTAGAACTATTAAACTCTCTCTAGGTGTGGATTCAACTGTTAGTTGAAACGGTTGTGTCTTACTGGGTAGCCTGTCCATCCGGAGCTCATTCTGTACAATTTGCTATATCAGATTAGTTGTAGCATGTAACTCACTTTCACTTATCTACGGTTAACACTTGGCGAGCTTCATGATTTTGCACTCCGATGAATCTTGTCCGATGGCCTATTTTGATCAAACTCAACCATAGTTAGGTGCTACTGAAATGTGGAAGTGTTCGAATGAAGAATTGATTTTGAAACCGTAATTTTGAGCTACAATCAGTAACCATAAGGCACTACTGCCGGAGGTCGCAAAGCAGAAGTCATGTAAGAGGCGCATTATTGAATAGGTCTAGATTTACAAGTCGATATTCGAGGGCCAATTCTATCTGCTTAATAGCCTTCGTTCAGTGCAGAAGCTTCTGCCAAGAGCTTTACGAAGTTCGTAAGATGATTGTGCATGCATTGGACTCACAAATCAAGGCTTCAATGACAACTACATTGCCGAAGAACTCGGCTGGTGACTTGACACACAGAACCCTTCGGGATAATGATTCGCCTTCTTCCGTTCTGAGTCTCAGAACAAGTTTTGAGAACTACACATGCCGCTCGAAAGCACTGGCATATCTTAACCAGCTATTCGAACAAACATATGGTGGACGAGCAGGCGCGTCACCGGATTGACAAAGGGCAGAGTTGATCCTGTTGATACGTGTGTCCGACCCAGTGATGAGGTGTTATCCTCCTCACCTAGAGTGTGTTCTGGCTCCTCGAGCAGGAGGGGGCTCTGTATTCCAGGGTTGTTCACGAGCACCGCCACTCCGCCACTCCCCCAACTCAACCCACCACAGACAGAGTTGCCTCAATTGCTGCAAAATGAAGGGAATTAAAACAGACTTGCAATCACGCACATGGCAGGAGACGAAATCGTCGTAAAAAGGATCTTCTTTTGGTGCGCGTGATGGGTGCGCAACAATCTGGCTACTGAAGAAAAAATGGGACGAGACCATTAATGAATCGACGCGTCCGGTGCCAGAGCTGGCGGCGACGACGAGGGAGGAGGAGGAGCAACCAGCGAATGTGGGCCATCCATCCCCCATTTTCCTCCTGTGTCCCAGCGAAGCGAAGAAGAAGAAGGGGAACGATGGATGGATGCCCCACACCACGTTCCTCGATGGGGATCCGATTCCACCACCACGTACCATCCATCGCATACGCCACCGACACAACTTCTTGTTGTAGGTTCCGCCGACGGATCCCGCGCACCAAAACGTCGCCGCGTTTCTCCGACACCTTGGCGAAGCTTCTCCCCTGTCACCGCCCCATCAATTTTCCCTCTGGTAGGAAGAAGAAGAAGAAGAAGAAGAAGGTGGTGGGGACTCTATTCCCATGAAACAAAAATAAATAAATAATATATTATTTATTATTATTTCTTCACACATCTCATATTGTGTATATTGTATTTATTTTGTGTTCATGAGATTTTGTATTCATTTATTATGTTTCAATATTTGGTTTTAATAAAAGTAAGTTATTTAAACACACCATATATGACTGAAGTATCAGTATGTTGACAATAAAATAATAATAAAAATAAAAGATTTTATTTATTTTTCTTTCACAAAAAATAAAATACGAATGAAATTTTAAATATTAAAATAATTAAAAATAATATTATTTTTATTAAATTTAAATAATATCAAAATATATATATAAACATAAACTTGTAATTTGATCATGCATCTAATAATTTTAGTTAAATCGACAGGTTTTACAAAATATATTTAAATTCAATAGTAGAATAATGAAATTCATAAATGATTGATTCAATTTGGTTTTAATAAATGAACATTTGTAGTTATACAATGAGTAGACAAAGTTTTTTAAATTGGTGTTAATGATTAGAAAGATAGCAAGAGAACTAATAGATTGTGTAGTTGGATGTTAATAATTGTTTAAATCACATATTTTCAAATAGTTTTTAGATGCATGATAGATTAAAAAAATAAAAAAATAAAAAAATAAATCCTTTTGATTCATAAGCACCTCCTACACTAATAAAAATAGTTCTCTCTCTATACATGTATACATGTATACAATTCTCCCAATCCTTTTGCCTTAGCTCTCCCCAAGCTCTTGCTAAGGCTTCATTGACTTCCGCTTCCATTGATCCTAAGTTTTAAAATTTGCAAGTGAGTGGAAGTGGGCAAGGGCATGCATATATATATATATATATATATATTTGTTAAAGTTGAGTAAAATCCATTCACGAACAAAGAAAAAAACATGCCATGATACAAGATGAGCATTTTTGGCTCTGTGGCCATCACATCCTGCTTGAGTACTGTAAAAGATGTGAAGAAGTGGAATTACCAACGAAAAAGGAGTCTTAGCTAAGAATACCAGCTTCCTTTCAGTCTAGAATAAAATACAAACAAAAATAAAAACACAAGCAAATAAAAGACGGTATTGAATAAGCTCAAAGCGCGTCCACGTATCACTCGTCCTCGTCGGTGGCCATGAAAATTTTAGTTTGGAGACGCAAGCCTGGCGGACTGAACGAACGTCTGAACGAATGATCGAGCAAGCGAAGCAAATCATCCCTCGGGGGAAAGGGGGAGAAATGAATGACAAATATGCATTGGAAATAGAAATCGAAATGTATGATAATTGCAATAGAAATGCGGCGCATTTGCCGAGCTGGGGGGGGTATTGGTCGGCAGTGCCGGGGGAGAGGGATAGGCGTGTGCGGGGGATCACGGGGAAGAATGGATGGATGTGTGGGTGAATGCGAGATTGATTGATTTGCCGGCCTCCTTCCTTTGCAATGCGATGCGATCTTCTTCTTCTTCATCGTTCATTCATTCATTTGTTGCTGGTCGTCGCTGTTGCGGACTTAGAACGCCACGCGATCGGCGTTACGACTTGGGCTAGGATGGCGTTGCCACAGCAGCAACGCGGGACGAGAAGTCGACTCTCCTGCCAAATCTCACTCGCTCCGCACCTCTTTCTCCTTCCTCACACCCCCCCCCCCCAATGCCCCAGCAATGCCCCCGGCGACTTTCGGCTGGCTTCCAGTCACACATCCCTCACAGTTGTCAGGTCCACTCAGCGTGACCAAGGTCAACTCGTTGCTCGGGGGTTTTGGCAGTTTCAACGAATCAGGCACGAGGCATTTCTCCCACATGAGCACGTAGTCGTGATGTCCAGAGTATAAGAACTGGAGGGGGATGGTCCACGATCAGTCAGTACTTCTCGTAGCACCTCCTATTTTTTAGCCTGAATTTTGTGGCAATCCTTCCCGAGGGGTTTGTTGGTGAATCAGGGTATGTGTGTTTCGACGATCTTGTATTGACTGTTTGGATTGAGGGTCCCGTATGCACCTACTTCTGAGGGTATTACTATTTGTGATGTGAGTGTTCGGCAGTTGAAATCGGATCCGTCATCTTTGATTCTGGTGTTGAAATTAGATTCGATCTCGAGGGGTTATTGAGGATTGGGTAGCCCCGCTGTTCAGCAATTGTTGTGAAAGTAAGCAGAAAGGACTTGATTATGGATTCTAGGACAGGATTCGCGATGAACCGGAAAGCAGCGGGATTCAATCTGAACCTCTCACCTGATCTGGTGCAAGAGCTAACAGATTCATTCAAGTTTTTTGACCGGAATGGCGATGGCAAAATCTCCAAGGAGGAGCTGGGAACGGTCGTGCGCTCACTTGGGCAGAAGGTGAACGACGCAGAATTGGCGAGGCTGATTAGTGACGTAGACTCGAATGGTGATGGCTACATCGACCTCCAGGAATTCATTGACTTAAACGCGAGAGCCATTGCCGAGTGCCCAATGGGTATGGACACAAACATGGAAATTCACCAATACGGGCCAGGAGATAGTATGCACGCAGCTATGGTGTCCGCGTTCAACGTGTTCGACGTTGACAGAAATGGTTACATATCAGCTGAAGAGCTTCATCGCGTCCTCGTGGGATTTGGTGACGAGAAAGTTTCGTTGGAGGACTGTCGGTCTATGATCGAGTGCGTGGACGAGGACGGTGATCAGATGGTCAATTTCAGAGAATTCGAGGCTCTCATGGGCGGCACAAGCACTTGTGTCTACTGACAAGGGACTAGTCCGAGAAACGTTCAATTTTTCACAGCCTTGCCTCCTCCGAATTAGCATCTACACCGTTTGTAGCTAGAATCAAAGCCAAAGTTTTCGAAAGAGTTGGATGTGAAGGCAACAGTGAAACATATACATTGGAAATTAATTCATTGGCAAGACCTCTGATATAGGTGAAAGTCGTAGGTACACAGAGAAGAGATAGTTGATGCCTCCTTTGGAGGTGCTGCTGCGGCAAAAACTCATGACTACAAGAATTGTACATTGGACTTTAAAGACATTAGAAATGACATAACAACTCAAAACGAGATTGTTAACATCGTCAATCCATGCACCTCATTTTGGTCTCCAGTTGAAAGCCCCTGGAGACTGTCTTTCAATCACACTTTCTTGCATTGTCGTGCACACGTGTTTATAGTAAACAACATATGCTGTCCGGGCTCCTAAGATGTTAGTCAGGTCAGGAATGTGAGCAGCAACAAGAATCGCCTCGGTGGGATTCAGGGAGTCGTTTTGCCGAAGTATACAGAGTGTATTCGTTCAACCTGGCGTGTATAAAGGACGACTGCCTTGCAAGGGGGTTATGAAGACATTTGGTCTATCTAGTTCAACTTTGTGAGCATCAATCTCTTTGCTTGTATCAAAGTAGGAATATGAGCGGACGAGCAATCCTCAATTATTTTTGAAGCTTTAACATTGACAAGCAGGATTTAAGATAATATTTGCAGATTGAAAGCATTCCACCATGACACAGGAAGGAGACAGAATGCAGTGACTATTATAGATAATGCACAGGATGGAGGATTAAGCAGCACACCCCCGTGATGCTTACACATGTATTTGTAACCAAAGCGTCTCTTTCCTACAAATCAATCTTGTATGAAATACATCTCTCTTGTAGTCTCCGTCCATGTAATAATTAAAGTTTCCATTAATGAAGGGAGATGGATAGGCATCCAACTCTTCCACCTCCAAACGGCCGGCCGGGATGAATACCCATACCATGGCCGTAGCTTTGCGTATACTCTGCTTACATCAAAGAGTGTTTTTTTGGATGAGAACATAGTTTCTTGATCGCAGCCGCATCTGAGTCTCCTTGTGCAAAGGAAGATGGGGTAAGCATTTTCTCGCAAGGGGAAATAATGAGAGGCCCGTCAAGAGCAATACCAAAACTGGGAGTCGAGGAAAACAAGGCAGTAGTCAAGGATGTATCACATCGGATATCTTGGCATGCCCCAAGAACACATACTGCAACTCTTCTACCCACACCTGCCGGATAAACATACAAATGGTTGACATGAGTAGAGAACATGAACACTGATTTGAGATAATTCGGCCAACACGAATACCGCAAAATAACAGAGACGCATGTAATGGAAGACAAACGTACTGCAAGCAGTATGAGAGTATTCTTACCTCATCACGGAATTCCACACGCATATGAGGAACATTGGTCTTGTGAATATCATTCCCCTCAGGACCCCTCTTGTAATAATTTTTCCCCAGCCAATGTGTCTGCATCAGTCAGAGTCGAATAGTTAGAGCGACGTGAAATTTACGCCAATCACCATATCTACAGGATTGAATAAATCTTGTAAAGAACCAGCCTGACGTGACAATGCACTAAAATCAATTAGGAAGAGGACATACCTTTGTTCTATGATTGAAACCCGATTGATAAACAGAATTGCGTGCAATTTCACAGAGGTCACAGGAGCTCAGCTTCCACACCTGATACACAGAAAAATGTATGATATTAATGAAAATATGATCTAAAAATTAGGAATTCAGTCAGATACGGCAAGAACAGATCGGACAGAGGCGTCACCTGTGCTGCAATGCTGTACTCTTCAACAAGAGGCTCTTTAGTAAGATGAATTTGTAGAGGATCATCGGTTGAGAGCGATACATTCAGACCTCGGGCAAAAAACATAGGAAAAGGGTTGCGATGATAGTCTAGGAAAAGAGAATTGTTGCTTAGCGGAGACATGGCCAATCCAATCTGCAAATAGACCATACCGTAGAAAATGGATGAGATAACAATATGGATACAACTAAGCCAGCATAGACAGTTGAATGATTGTTTATGACAGCGGCATTGAACTGAAGTGGTTACTGTGAGTTGATACAAATAAAACGAGGTCAATAAAATACATTGAAATAAAACAATAAATTTTAAAAGAAAACTTAGATTCACATCTTTCATCAGATATAGTTACTTTGTCTAATGGATGTGATCTGGGCACTTGCAAGCCAAAAGTGATGAAAGAACCATAGGGTTCTGAGTCCTAGAAGAAAAAGAAAAAAGAAAGAAAACCTGGGCAAGGTAATAAAGATACTGTAGACCAGGAGTTTTACGCAGATTGTTTCCATGCGCAATATTGTGTGCCACCAAGAAGGATGCTGCTAAATGGTCCAAATCACCAGCCTGAAACAATCACATCAGTATCCAGTCCATCCAACAACTAAATTTCCAATGTTTGATGTGCGTACCTCAAACAAAATTTCACAGTAATTTACATGGACAAATAGCATGCTTTCTGAAAATACCATCGCATTGACACAAATTCAAGCAAGCCATTTTGTTCTTACCTCTCCAGTGTGTGGTCGGAACTTAATAGTTGAAAGGTTCTTGGATTCCCTCAACTGCCACAAAACAATATGGTCAAATTCAATACAATATGTTTCATACTTGGACTCATATTCGACGATTAAATGGATAATTTATTTAAGCCGACCCTAAAAACATCCAACAAAATCAACAATACAAAACCCAGAATCCGGCCACGGAACGACAACACAAATCTCAAATGAGGTAGTAATCTCCCGAGAAATAGTATGACAATTCCTATCATGATGCAAATGATATATCGTAAAACAATGATCTCCAAAAAATACAATAAACGCAGCAAAGGACAGATATTCAAAAGGAAGTGGTGAAACGATCTTGCAAAACATATTGACCCTGCTTGCATTAAAGAATCAGGTTATGTCAAGACTTCGTAATTTCCCTTTAAAGTATCTAGTCGAGAATGCAGTACCTTGTTGAGGACATAGAGATTGGCGTACACGTAGTACGCCCAGTATGAATAAGCTGGATTGAAAGGATTATCCCATTTCGCAGGTGGTTGCATGTGCTTCGTTGGCCGCCTTTCAGGCTTGCTCTCATCATCCACCATATCGAATCCAACAACCTATTCATTTAACAAAAAATGCATGAAAGAAGGATTGAAACCCAATGGGAAAGCAAATTATCAGGTTATTTCGACCAATACGCGACAAAAGCAAATCGTATCCAGTTGGAGAAAGCGGACAAGAATGTAAACGAAAAGACGCATGACGCTGGGGGTTTGGTTTTGCTTTTGACCAACCATCGAGAGTAAGACATGAAGCTGTGGATGAGAGGAGGGATCCACAGAAACCTCGAACAGAGGAGCGAACACATTTTCCAGGATTGTCTCAAAAGACTGCACAATACCCATTTCCTTATACACGTTGTACAGCCTTGGTAACTGCATGGAAGAAGAAAAAAAGACCATGTGAGTATAAAACTAGGAGTAAGACCTGAAATACTGCAGACCATTTACGTAAAAGGTTTAAATAGACATCGTTCAAAGTATTCACGACAATTACATTTAAATATTCAAAAAAATTCTCATTTCTTTCTTCTAGTAGTAATTTGTCCGAAAATATGCATAAGAAATGAGAATCACCTGAATAAGCCAAGTGACGTTCTCACTGTGCAGCTTATTGTGAACAATCCAATCGGCCAGTTGATCCCACTCACTCTTCTTCCTTCCGTAAATTGATATCCTATACTCAGCCATCTACACAACGAACAGACAAATATCGTCATGATTCTTTGCAAGTGGAAGGATTTTAGTTTTAAAGATAAAGAGTACTAGCAACATAGACAGGAGGTTTTCAACATCTCTAAGTGTTGATTCGGATCATCGAAAAAACCTGCTGTGACTCTCTGGACAAAAGAACTCTCATGAACATCTTAACTGCACCCTCATTTAGGTGCACTATGACTAATCGAAGAATCAGTGGAAACTCTAACATCTATTCAACAGATGTGAACTGTTCCAAGTAACAATCACCAAGTACTTTACACATGCATCCATCTCTCTTTTTATAGTTCACACACCTGATATTTACTTGCTTGAAGATCTGAGAAAACTTCCTTAGTCAACTCTGCTAAGAAGCGTCCTGTATCAGGATACCACAAGTAGCACTTAGTCGATATACTTAATCGAGACTACAAAGAGAAATCGAAGTTATCAATCATTAACAATCGTTGATTACTGAATGGAAGAACACGGTTGAAACTCTTATCTTGATTTAAATCGAGCAAAAGTGAACATCATTCGAATAATTGTGAGTGATTTCACATCATCGCAAGCATGTAGATTCAAACTAATTCTGAGGACTTCCCTGAAAGACGCGTTACCTTGGATGTGATTGTCCTGCTTTAGGAATATTTCCCTTAGCCTACTCTGGCCACAAGGATTATACTTCAAGTTGAACTTGTCGAATCGGTGAAATGTATTCTTGTCAGCATGGACATCCAGCAAATCGACATTGAGATCATAACTGAAATGTACACAAAATACCAATACAGTACACGCATTAACCACTTAACAGCATTAAGGTATAAAAATGTGTTATTTTGGAAAAATGATTTACAAATTGACAGCTTCAAATTAATCACTACAACATCAAAGGCAGAGTAACACAGAAGGAATCAATCATAAAACAATGTTATTCGTAACAATGGTTGAGAACAGAAATGAGTGAATTAAAGGTGAAGATTGCGCACCCGGTGAGATCTAGACTCTCAAACACCTCCCGCAGAGTAAGATACTTTCCATCGCGAAAGATGACAACCTGGTCATACATCAATCGAGTTGTCAAAACGAGTCAACAAGAATCTAATACTTCGGTACCTTTGAGGATTAAGCTGATAACTTTTATAAAACGCAAATATTATCAAGATATGAAATGGTCACTTCAGTTATCATCATGGCAACCGGGCATGCATGACTGCCTTGAAATATAGCATACTAGTTTTACCTCAGAAGCTTCCTTTCGTAGTTTGGATTTGATAAATCTCAGAAGATGTTTCTGGTTCATGCATGAAGAATGGTGCACGTGTGTGTCGACTTTCCTCACGTTATAAAAATCTCGATGAGGCGCACTTTTTTGAGCAAGGAACTCACGGTCCGCATTCAGCATCAGGTGCAAACTGAATTTCTGCAGAACTCACAAGAAAAAACAGTAAAGTAATTTCACACCACGTACGTTTCTAAAAGTACAACACCAGCGTGTTTCTAAGTAGTGGTCCAAAAAGCAGTGCGTGACTCAATGTCAAGGGGGAAATCGTGCAAACTGACCTGCTCCAGTAGTTTGAGACGATGATGACACAAAGTCCGGACGTTGCCAAGCGAAACAATCCTCAGTATGCGGTGCATATCAGTAAAGAAAGTCGTGGCATCATGCACTGGAAAGAGCTCCACTTGCGCTGCAACCACAAACAATGTTGTCGTCATCTTACGCGTTACGCGATGATCCAAAGCAGCTCAATATTGTGATAGTAGTCAACAAATATAGTTTCATACCCGGAAAGCTCGATGCTATAAATAAAGATATCTTGCTAGTGAACAATGCGAGGATATCGAAAGAAGTGTCAGACTCAGCAAAATTTAGAAAAATTCAGTCACTAATCAAAAGCAGAATTCCAAAAAAAATACAAATACAAATACAAAATTCATGAGAATGCTACTCCTACACGTCGTGTCAAAGTCTGTAAAAGTTGAAAAGCATGACTTACGTTCATTGGGTGCATAGACTCGATAAACACCATCCACCATTTCATACGTATGCTGTGCACCGGATATGAACAAAACAAAATCAGACAATCCTAAACGAAGTGTCATAGGATAATCGAGACAGACATGAGGCCAAGGATAGTCTGATTATATAAAATGCTCTCTTACGACACTAGAAGGGTGTCAGACCAGTGATCCTAGATAATTTCCAGCTCCACAAGAGAAACAAGAGTTGAACCTCATGGAAACAGAATTGAGGTCCACTACATGAAGATATCGTTTTAATACCAGAGTGGTGAGTATTAGAAAAGAGTTAGTGAAAGTACAGAATTGAAATGGGAAAACCAAGTGCAACAGAAATTATCACCATAAAGAAAAAGCCTTGAAGAAACACATACCGAGGAAGCTGGTTCAGGTCGGTAGTAAAAAGGATCGGGATTTGGCTTTGGGGTGTCAGAGTCTATAATCTCTTCCTTTACCCACGGGGGGGTCTTCTCTCGGTACACATACTTGTCTCGTAGAGCCATACATTCATGCATATATTTACACACCTCCTCCTCCTCTTCAGAAGGCGCCTCTACATACCATGCCAAACAAAGTTAATCCTCAAAGACCTAAGTCTATGTCATCAAGAGGTTGAATAGATGTTTAGTTACAATGACATCCCAGGGTTGCTTGACAGTAATTACCTAGGAACTAACTCAAGGAAGCAGATCAGATTGCGTTGTAAAGAGCTTGGATGCACAGGAAAGTAAATACCACACAGACCCAGAGACCATTTAGTTAGCCAGTAATCTTCTTAAAAACCATCTCAACAGTATGCGAACCCCATCTTACTCTGCTTCAAAGAGTTTGTGTCCGTTCAATTGGATAGAATATGTTCAATGGATTCTGAGATGGGGGACCCTAGTGAAAACGAAAGAGAGGGTTTAGAGAAGGTCTAAGAGAATGATTCTTTAAGAGTGTGCCATTAACCTATACGCAGTGGAGAGAAAAAATAGAGCAACTGAAGAAGATAATCTATAATTTGCATGCACAAGATTAAGCCATTCTGTTGACTGGGACAGAGGAAGTACCTATGGGGGAAACATTCAGTTTAACATAAGTCTCTTGCTCAGGCTCCTTGCGAAGAATATCAGCAGCAACAGGATCTGGAGCGTGAATACCATGCAGATCCCCAGCTATGCTGTGAGATCGTATCAAGTTAGCAGCTGATTTATCAGCGGCGGCTTTCAGTACCGCATTCTCTGCACTGGGGGACTGAGGTCGCACAAGTCCTTCCACCTGCGCAACCACGTTAATAGAGTGAACCTTCCGTTGAAAAAATGACCAACACAAAAATTGCTCTAAAGACATGAACGAAAGGGTTGGTTAACATATTGAACACATGGCGGAACAGTCTAATATCTCTTGGGATGCATGCAATAGAAAACGTGAACTCACCATCTCAGATCCACCATTTCTTTCGCCATCAGCAATCATGTCATCATTAGTATCATTGTCATCGTCAAAATCTCCATCATAAGTATCCTCCTCGCCATTTTCCAGCAGATGGTCCTCTTCTGCTGAGCCTTCCACACTTTCATAGGGCCCCGCTCCAACAGGAGAGCTTGGAGAGGAGGGGCGAATCAAAGTGGCAGGATTCATAGAGGGATTTGGTGGACGTCGCGCAAGGGCCGTCGGCTGCGTTCCACCTATGCAAGCAGCAATACACCATAGTTAGGATCTAACATACATACTTGAAATACAAAACCGGGGCAAGTTGAAACTTGTGCAACCGCAGAGAGTACCCCCATGCAAATGCTTCCCTGCACAAGGTCAAGAAAGGCTTTTGTGCGAAGCAGTAAACACAATCAAAAAAGAAGATCTAGCCACTAGAATCAAAGGAATACGCATTAGACTGAAAGAGTAAGGGCAGACATTGCGAAGCTAATCCAAAAAATCCTAACAAACCCAGTCCATAGCACTTGGAGAAAGAACAAAGACAATAGCACACATAAAAGTGCCAGGCGCAAGAGAAGCTTGAGGAAAACACCTTAAGAAATCCTTGAGATGATAGTGCTGTGTCACTGCTAATGAACACAATAGGAACACCGAAGAATGCATGTGTTAAAAGATAATTGAACACCTACCTTCTTTTCGAGTTTTAACTCGGGGGAGGCCGGGAGGTATAGTACTAACGGAATCGGATGATCCCCCTTTTGCCATGCTAGTGGGCGGCAACGAAGAGTTCAAGACCGACTTGACATTGTCGTGTGCCATAAGCTCAGGAACTGTTGAACTGCCGAGATCTTTGTTGACTCTTCTCTGTTGAGAGCCGGGCCTTCGCCTCCTGTGCTCCCCGAAATCTAGCATCCGTTGTGATTGTAGACGTTCCAAACTTCTACAGTGCAACATGTATGAAGATGCGGCGGCTACGGTGGCTCCCACCATAGCTGCTACGGCCAGCGACAACCAGGCCGCATGCGTGGCTGATGAGTTCTCCATCCCTAGGAACTGAACAGAGCTTGTTTACAAACTGAGATGCACCTAATCTGACGTCTCACCCACAGTGTGAACCCATGCGCAAGCCTGCAATCGAGCAGGAGGAGACAACCCAGGCCAAATGTTCAGAATGACATAAGAGTTTCCGATTCACCTTCGTATCTAGCTGGCAAACACCTTTCACATGAGAACTTAGAACTCGCGACTACACCATTACAGGACAATGGAAGGAAAGATTCAGCAAACGAATCCATGTACATTCAAATCCACGTATCAATATGCTTAGAGAGCCCAAGTCATGAGTAGCCAACAAGATGAAGTTCGGAGAAGTCTTCAGATAGACGATCAGGATCGTAGTCAATTTTTCCATTGTTGAAGGAGAAAAAATATCACTTTGCTCGGCAATGCCGATAACAAACCTAATTTTAACCTAACACTCACAATCACGCAAAGCCGGAAATGATTTCCTAGAATTGCCTCCATCAACAAAACGATCTAAGAACACCAACGCCCTGATCCAGCTAACGAGCCTCGTTGCACAAATAATCCGCAACCCTAATCCCATGCCTCCAGCTGAGCTCAGCCCCCTCCGCTCAATAGACCACGAATTGTTCTCGTTACATTCATAAATTCAATGCAGTAAGAACTTCAAAATGTCGTAAATCATCTCATGATGAACGCACTAGCGGCGTTAGACTGCCAAGGGGTTACGCCACAGAGTCATGACCGCAGGCGACCAACCAGAACCTGATAAGGTCCTCGTGCAATCAAAATACTACCTGCAAGATTCAGCCCAGAACAAAGTACTAAAATTCTAAATTGTAAGGGAGGCTAACCGATGATAGGGAGAAGCGAACAAAATTTCCCATAATCATGCCCCGCACGACCCTCACCCCTCAGAGAGATCACATCAAAACTCGTCAAAACTGACAAACAATGATCAATGCAACACGTCGCCGATACTCACCACGACAGAATTCTAGCAGCTGTGTCTCGAAAAATTCACCCCCAAAAAATATTCCAATGAATAACTTCAAATGATTCCCACACCTAAAACCCACGTCATTCCACAATCTTACCAAATAGAAGAGGCAGAAGAAGTAGAAATCAATAAAACAAACTCATGATATGTTAGTCACCCAAGATTCAAGCTGGCCTTCCAACAACCAGATCACCAACAATCCGTCGGATGATCCCAAAGCATATTGCTGTGAGCCTCCATAAAGGAACCCAATGGAGAGCTACAGAACCAGCGACTAAATGCGGCAACAAGGTTGGTAATAGAAATGCCAGCCCCTTAGAAAAAGAGCAGGGAGAGAGAGAGCGGGGGAGAAGGAGGAGAGGCACACACCCAGACGTTGTCGACCCGAGTGAGGCTGGACGGAATGCGCAGAAAGACAGAATAATTCACAAACTCCACCCCGGGGGGGGGGGGGGGGGGGGATAGATCACACTGAGTGAGTGAGTGAGTGAGTGAAGGCAAGGAACAGATCGCCTGAAACAGGGAGAAACAGAGAGACAGAGAGAAGGGCCGCGTGACCCTTACAACGAACGACAGACTGGGGAAGGGGCAGGGCAGGGAGGGGGGGGGGATCACCCCTCGAATACGATCAAGGAGGAGAGCAGCAACAATCGGAACAGTATGAACAGTAGTAGTATTAGGATGGATGAATAACTGGATGGACGGATGGATGGATGGATCAGAGCCACTGCTCTCCAACGAAACGCTTCGTCCATACGTCCATCCGTCCATCCAGGTAACGGACGAATGCCGTCGACGCATTCTTAGAGCTGTGCAGAGTTCGTGACGATCTGGCATACATGTCACCATCCTGCTCCTCGTCGTCATCCAGTGGGACTACTTGGCTGCCACGAGACTTTTGCACTATTGAGAGATAAAATCGTGCCTTCCCCCACTGTAGAGATAGATAGATAGAATTAGGTAGATAGATTGATGGGTGGGACGAAAGATATAAAGAGCGCTGGTTGTGGGTGGGCGTGAATAGCAAAGCCTTTGACCACCACCATTCCCAAGACGCACTGCACTGACTGGGCTTTGAATTTGAACCCTGGTGGAAGTAAGTAAGGCCTTGTGCATGGTCTTGCTTGCTTGCATATATCCAAAATGATCGGAAAGGGAAAGATGAGCTTTCAGAGTCAATCACAAGATGCTGCTGGGGTATCAGGAATGAACATTCTATTTAATACCTTTCCCTTCTCTACAAATCAGGGCCTGCTATTGGGTAGCCACTCCACGAAGGATGACTCACTCTGTACATCTGAAAGAACCCCGTCTTTCATTCTGTATGCAGTTCATGAGCAAGAGCATATTTATTTATTTATTTATGTAACATTACCTTTCATCATAAATACGGGGTTTTCAAATTTAAATCTTAAAATAGATATTTAATGTTTGAAAATACATCTTTTTTGTACATACTACATCTTATTATTGTTAAGTGTTTCCTCCAGCATTGCACTTCTGTGTTCTCTCTCAGAAAAGTATATTCAACCTATATTTTGGGTGGAGTGTGTCAGAAAAAAATATTAAAACAAAATACTGCAATATCCGATTTTATGATAACTTGTTAAATTCATCAAACTATTGAACAAACACTTTGGTCTAAATACTTTGAGCAATTCATTAGATGATTTTTTCTTTTCTTTTTCATATATATATATATATATATATATGTATGTATGTATGTAATTGACCCTAGCTTCTACTAAATCAATCCACCTAACATCCCCCATTTCATACCCTTGTTCTTCCCTCCCTCCATCTTTGTTCTTTATGCTAGTTCCTTATTCCTCCCATCTCTCAATTCTCATCTCTATTCCTAGCCCCTATCTCAAGTTCCTTGAATAAGTAAGTTGACTTCATGAAAGATTTTGTCATCCAATAGTTATGTTTTTAAAGAACTGTCTTATCTCAAGTAAAGGTTCAAAGGTATTACATGGCTTCTTGCAGAGTAATCAAAGAAAACTAAATGTGATTCCATTGTTTGAGCCTCAAAGTCACAATTGAACCAAAGCCACATATAAGTTTTGAAATTGTACCAACCATTGATTTGTGGCAACCCTATTAATTGATTATGTGTCATGATTTAGTATGTAAATGATCTATACTACTTGTGCTTGTAATAATTTCATGTTTATATTTACTTTGATGATCTTACAACTTCCTAGCAATTCTACAATCACTCTTTAGGCCATTTAAACATTTAAAGTATTCAAAATGAACCATTGTTCTACTATAAACTAAGTATGAAATTGTACTAAGTTATAAATTTAACTCATTAAATTCTTCTTTCTTGAGTTCAAAAAAATTCTATAATATATATGTCTATAAAACTACTAATGTTTACAAAACAATTCCAAAGCTCTAAGAGTAGAATCTAGATAAATAAATAAATAAAATATCAATTTTTTTCTCAATTTTTTTCTTGATCTATAAAAACGAATCAACATCCAAATTTCCTTATTGCCATGCTTATATCTAATTTCTTAAAAAAATTACTATTTAATCTTTTCAAATTAATTGCTAAGAAAAGCTTTGATAAAAATGAGGAAAAAAAGGAGAAGAAACTCCAAAAATATATTGTACACTTCTTTATAGAACACCAATATTATTGCTTTCATTTTTTTCTTTTGCACAACTATTTCCACTACATGTTGCTTCTTCAATATTTTCTTTCAATAACGGATTACATTGACCACATCCAAAACTAAGATCAAGAATTGTCTTGTTTTTGCCAACAACTCAAGTCTATTGATTATAAATCCAAGCATAGAAGTACAAAAATTAAAGTCCAAAGTCAAAACTAAATAAATACAAATAAAAATTAAAGATTGCAACAAGTAAGATATGAATCAAAATGAGCCTACTTCTTAAATAGAAACAATGGCATGGGACCATGAGCTACTATAATGTAAGAAAATACACAATGCAATGCAAAATAGCACAGATTTGAACAAGTAATGTATATAAATGAGTTGTGTCCAATATGCGATGCATAATAGAGAAAAGGATCGATAGAGGATAAAAGAGAGGAGATGAGAGAAGAACATTGACATAAAAAAAAAAAAAAAAAAAAAAAAAACTATAATAAAGATGGAAGATGAAGGTTGTAATAATAGTTTTGTTAAGTGGATCAATTTAATATTTTCTTATATATATATATATATATATATATATATATAAAATAAATTAGGAAAAAAAATCAATAAGATAAACAAGAAGAGACAAAAATCATCTCTGATTAGTTGTATGCATCATTCAATCATCATTATTTTCATCAAAACTTAATATAACTTGTTAATTTATAAGACCTTGACATATGTGAGAATGTTTTACTCATATTATGAGACATTGTATATGCATGTGAATGCATCATGTATACATATTATTGCATGATATTATATATGCAAGCTATCATACATGTATTTTTTGTGAAGTTCTTACAATAAGAAGATTTCATGAGAATAAATTGGTACACATTCAAGGTGGTATAGAATCCAACAATAAGATTGTAGTTTTGAAGTACATGGATTGAATTGATGTAAGATAGCAATGTACGTGCAAAGATGTACTACATCTAATGGAATTTGAAGGCCCCAACTATAATGATAAAAAAAAGTCAAATTTATCTCAAAAAAAAATTATACTTCTTTTGCACGAGTTTATTTGCATGACCATTTATTGTTCCCTTTTATGTTGGGATTTTTATTTTGGTATAATCTAAAATTCATCTTATTTTATAATATAGTTATTTTATGAATCACCTCAATTATTAAGAGTTTGGCAAGTTCTTCTTTGGTTCCAAATTACATGCAAGCTATATAATCTATTATAGATAATATGTACTTTTATAGCAATCCAAAGCATTAACTAAGAACATTGAAAAAGGACAATGTATAAATAATAAAGAAATATCTTTTAGGATATATATATAATTATATATATAGAAAGAGAGAGAGAGAGAGAGAGAGAGAGAGAGAGAGAGAGAGAGAGAGAACAAAAAAGATAAAATTTGATTCTACAATTAAATTACAATTTTAAAAAGACTGGTGGTGGTTTAATTCATATAATAGGCCTATAGTCTCAACCATCACTATGGCTATTGAGAGAGTTAAAACAACTCAATTTGTAAAAGTTAAGAGTAAAAAAAAAAGATCTATGTCATAGTTTTAGCTAGGCTTTTTAGTACAAAAGAAGTTATATATTTTGATTTTTCTAATTGGATGTACATCAATAGCCAAACCATAGTATATAAATATATATTACAAAATAAATTGCTTAATACGATGCATGATATTGAAGATACAATGTGGCTTTAGAGTGCAATCTTACATTGGTGCGTAGCACAACTAAGAATTTGTGTCAATTACATATAGTGTCCAAAGAGCAATTTTTTACACATTCAATCACCATTGTAAAAATACTCTATGAATTTGTAATTTTGATTAATATTCATATATACAAATAAAAAATTATAGGATGGAACAAAATAATTAGGATTTAATAAATAAGATTAATAACTCTGATATTACTTATTAGTAGGATTGAATATTGTGGAATAAGAAGTATGTAATACAAGTGATGCAAACTTATAGCTTGAGGTTGTACAATCAACAAATTCAGCAAGGAGCATATGGAATTGTAGCAGCTATATAGTGATGGCATCATATGTAAGCATAGTAAAGGTCCAAGTAGTACATGCATCCATCACTTTGATGCAATCAGAGGATAATTGACAAGCAACAAAAATAACTCAAGAGGACTAATTTGACTCAGAGCTTGTGGCTATAATGACCAACATAAGTAGGTATGTCACAATTTGTTCTATTCAAATAATGCTAAGTCAAAAACTTTGTAGCTCCACTAGCTTTTTAGTGAATAAAAAAGAGGTAGTAACAAACTTGGATTGTAATAAGATAATAAAAAAAATGGAATACCATTTGTAGTACATAATCATTGTTTATTTTGTAGACAGAAAGAAGTTACAAAGAATCATATAAGTGTGGCTGGACTCTATTAAAGTGGACCTTAAAGAAGAACTTAAATTTATTAGAATCACCTGATATGGTTTTTTTCAAGTATTGACCAAAGATGAAGCATCCATCTAAAGCTTCTTTTACAGACACCTCACTTATTTAAGTAGAGAACATATATTTTATAGCCTTGGATCTTAGAATTCAATCCTATAAGACTAGTTGGTATGAAGATGTTAATTTAGGTCACTGTCAAGAATATGAATCAAAACAAGAAAAACTTTAAAATACTCTTGTGCCACTCAAAAAGACTATGAAATCATTCAAACATGGTAATATATTGAATTAGAATGGCTATTACCAATGATAAGAATAATAAAAAATCTTGAAATAAGATTAAAGATTAAAAAGACATTGACAAGAGTA